CCCCCACCCGCTTCTTCTTCTTCTTCTTCTTCTGCTTCTGCGGGACCTGGGGGGAGAGCCAAGCCCCGCGCTCAGGCCTGCTCCCCTAACACACCTCTGCCTGGCCCTAGCCCTCAACCGAGCCAAAGAAACACGGGCCGAAGCCTGGGGCCTGACCTGCTCCGGCCCATCCTGCTGCCCCAGGCCTGGAGCCTTGATGCCACACGCCCCTCTAGCGCTCACAGACAGCAGCAGACCCCAGCATTGCCTGCTGGATGCAGTCCCAGCCCCAGTCTTGCTCCCAGTGGGGCAATAGCTGGGACCGGCCCAGCCCTGGGAGCGAGGGAAGAGCCCAGCTGGGCACTGCAGCAGGTTTCTCGCTGTGGAGAACCAAGGATGAGCTGGGCAGCCCAAGTTCCTGGCAAATGGGGGAGCCCAGCCAGGCAACCCAGCCCTGCCATTTCACACCTCCGTATGCCAACCCCTTCCTTGAAAGCGTCACCCCATGAGCCTCCGGCCACCACGGGGCCCCGCCACAGCCCCCTGCCTAAGTGGCAGGGGGGCACGAAAGGGAGCCAGGCGCAGGCAGAATGGCTGCCCCACACGGAGCCTAGTGGCCTCATGTCTATGGGCTGGGATATGGGGCATCAGGTGGGGGGAGCTGCCCCTTGGTGCTGCCCACACTCAGTGTCTCCCGTGGCCACGTGGCTCTCACCTTCTCCGTCACATTGAGATGAGCAGGGAGGCCATCGGACTGGGAGCTGTTGGAGCCGCTGGTGCTGCGTCGGGCAGAGAGAGCCCCTTAGCTGTTTGCACAGGTTCTGACCAGCCTGCAGATGAGACAGCCTCCCCCAGCGGCCCTGGGCACCCCAGAGCCCCAGCCACCCCACACCTGGCTGGATTTATGGATGCCAAGTGGTGGAGACTCGCCGTGGCCCAGCCGGCTGCTCCACAGTCATTCCCCTCCCTGCTAGACACAGCCCCTTGGCTCTCTGAACGTGTCCCTGCAGCGCCAGCTGTTGAGCCTCGCTCTGCCAGTGTCTGCTATACTCCGACCCCCAGGTCACCTCCTACCCTGAGCCAGGGGGCTCCAGCCGAGCTCAGGCTGCTTGGCAGGCCCCCAAGTGCTGGGCACAGCCAAGGCCCACGAGGGGCAGCTGTTGCTTGGGGGTTCCCTGAGGCTGGCCAGGAGCACGGGCCCACAGCTCTGGGGGTGTCTGGGCTCAGAGAGGAGGGGGCAGGTGCTGAGCAGGTTTCCTGGGGCAAACCAGGCTTGGGGCTCAGTCCTGCCCTGTGTACTCAGAGAGGGGTGTCCCCGGGGCAGAGCCCCTGAGCGGGTGACAGGGCGGCGGTACCTGGACTCCATGTCTGACAGGGAGAGGTCGCTCCAGGCGCCAGCTGAGTCCTGCTCGTGCCCCAGCTCCTGCAGCTTCCCATGGATTTGCTGCTGCAGCAGGTCCTGGAGCTCGGACAGACACTGTAGGAACTGAGGGTGGAGAGGCGAGAGCTGCCAGGGGCTTCCCGGGGCAGAGCGGGGCTGGAGCCTCTGCTCGGCCAGGCCCCCTCCCCCCGAGCACAGGCAGGGCAAAGGGGGGAGCATGTAAGCCCCTTATGGGAGCCGCTGCCCAAGGAGACCCAGCGTCCCTGTGATGCAGAGCGATTCCAGAGCGTGCAGAGGAACCCAATGAGAACAGACACGTTAGGCTGCCACCTCTGCTCCTCTGCCTGCCTCCCCACCCGCCCACGCCCCGATGTGCCCACGGCTGCTCT